TAGGAAAGACAAAAGAAAGATGAACTCTAAATTTCTTATACTAATATACAAATACCTCATGGGCTGGCTTTGGGAGCACCTCTGCCCTCATTTCCTGTGACGTTGCCCTTGAATTCTCAGGTCCCCTCACACTGGCCTTTGGTTGGTTGTGCCCTCATGCTCTTAAGTCCCCAGGATAATTTCACCTGCTGGACTTCTCTCCTGGGATGCTCTTGGCTAGCTTCTTGTGGTTTTCTTTACGGTATCATCATTTGCAATTTAAAATGTAGTTATATTGCGCTGTGTCAGTCACCTCTACTGGAATATTAACTCAGGTGTCTTCATTTACTGAGCATTCTATATCCTCACGGTCCTCACGGAACTAAGGAGAGGCCCAGTAAAGGTCTACAAAATGAGGAACTCTGGAAGTCTAACACTGAGTCTTCTTTCTGAGTTTTGTTTGTGCATTAGTGGCCAAGGACAACTTGGTGGCTAGAATCTTGAATACCTCAGGGTTGTGGTTCCCAGATCATAGTGTTCATGTGAATCAATTGGGAAGCTTGATAATAACACAGATTTGAGTTCATTTCATTCTAGAGCAAGGTCCTCCAACTTTACGTTTCATAAAAGCTTTCCAAGGGTCTTAGTTGTTTGTGGAGGCTGTCAGTTGGTTTGACCCGTCTCATTCTATCTTGTTGACACTGCCTTGACAATCCTTTAATGCATTTGTTTGCATATACTGAGTACCAGGAACACGCATCTGGTCTGCATCTGAGCATTCTGTGCTTTTTCCTTTCCTGATTGGAAGGATTAACTTCTGCATAAGAATATGATTCCAGTAAATTAAATATACTGTTTAACTTTTTTACAAGCATCTAAAAGGAAAAAAGGAAGCTCATTCAACCACTCAAATCCAAAGGAAGAATAAATTCTGGGACATTTTGTTAGAACTATGTAGGAATAAGTCGTTTTCTGCTAGGATTATAAAGCTTGACACTATTAATGTGGAACGTTGAGGTCACTATAGGGAAGGATCTACCGAAATAAGGCCAATGCTAAGGAAGGCAGAATTAAGAGATGAAAAGGGATGCTATCTGAATGGCAGTATTTGTATACCTGGATGCAGGCTCATACGAAAATAGAACCCTGCCTGGACTCTTCAGTCATGTGGGTTGAAATAAGTCCCTCTACTTTTTTGTTTCTTGAGCCAGTTTAGTAAGCTACATTTCTTTCTCATCTATCGACAGAACCCTAGATATTTGGGTAGAGAAAGATGCACAATAGGAGGAAAAGAGGAAGAGCGGGAGGAAGAGGGAGAGAGAAATTCCTGCAAAGGAAAAAATAGATTGTTGGAGACAATCTGGAAATAGGGTAGATTTGAGCCAAGCCATTTGTGCAGATGTTTAAGGATTAAAGAAGTTTGTGAGCTATTAGCACAAGCTGACAGTAGAAATTCTGGATTTCACATAACTCAAGATGCTCAATGAGAATAGTCAGAGCTTCATCAGAGGCAGGGAAAGTGTTCTATTTGGCCTGAAGGCGAGGCAGTGAAGTGGCAGTGACATACAGGATCAAGGCTAATAGGTGTGGAGCTGTTTTTGCCTGGAGTTAAGGATGTTGCTGTTTACCTTTATGGTTCCCATTTTCACATGCACTTGTAACCTGGAGTCACTCATAATTCTCAGCTGATTTGCATTTAGAAAGCTATCTGACAGTGTTTAGATGACTCATCACAGGAAGCAGAAACAAGAGAGAAGAGATCAGATCACAGTGCCAATGTCTAATTCTGGAGAAAGACCCTCTTTCTTGTCTTTTAGAGTTGCAACTGCACATTATGAATGAGTCTCTGGTGGATTTCCGTTGTCTTTCAGGAGTTAGCATGACTTTGAGTAGTTTCTGATTACAGACCCACTATATATCCATTCTTTCCATTTCATTTATTTGCAGATGGCAGGCATTGTGGCCAGGATAAACAACGAAAAAAGTTCCAGGTTAGTATAAAAATATCCCAGAGGTAGGTTACTTAAAAGTCTTGTTGTGCTATGAAATCTATCTTTCAAAGCTCAAAACACTATCCTTAGTTTCCAACGATGCCTGAGGGGTTCATGAATCTACAATCTTTATCACCTTGGAGATTGAAACTCTCCTAATGCCCGGGGTCAGCAGCTGTACTCATATTAAAAAGTGCTGCCGAGCAGCTGGTAGAGATACAAATCAATACAAACTTGTACTTTTGAAGCTTCGGTACAGACATCCCTTGACCTGACTGCCCAGCAGAGATCATCAAAAATAAAGTGTAATTATGAACAATGGTTCTCTGTGTTCAATATGTCCAAGAAGGTACTAGGAATATCTCAAAATGAAAATCTTCTGGGACCATAACATACATGCTATTTAATTTAACTTTTTCACAAGCCCCTGAAAGGAAAAAGGAGGCTCATTCAACCACTCAAGGGAAAATCCTGTTTTTCTATTTTTCAATTTAGCCACAGGGTAGTCTTTTAAAATATCATACAATCTTAATTATAGTATTGTTAATTTAATGGATGGAGATGATACACTGGACAGGCGAAGCTTGTTATTGACACACTGTCTCTTTGAGCCCTTCGCTTTAGAAAAGGATAAGGAAGTTAGCATCTCCCAAACCTGTGGAACAGCAGGGGTGATTGAAAGAAGTTGCATGATACAGTGACACTGTACTATTATTATTACATCGAATCATGAAGAAGCGAATAAAATCTTACGTAGAACACTCCTTCAAAGGCCATATGTAATAGTATATGACACAGTAATTCAGAAATGAAACCAGAGACTTGATATAAAGCAAATTTTAAAAACCTTAAAATCAAAGTGATAGGAACAGTCACAGTCTGGGGAAGAAGTTTTCCTTACTTATTTGAATATATAATGATTTTATACAATATTTTGATGTAACACTCAGTACCTTGTGTAGTCTGTACAAACTAATCTCCTGTGGAGAAAGCCTTTGTAGCATTTTTCCACCCATCTGTTTTACAAGTATTTTTTGATATCTGCCCTGTTCATTGAGGACACACAGTAAACAGTAGACAAGGCCCTCGATACCCGTCCATGGATGCTACCGTCTGGTAAGGGAAATGCAAACACACATATCGTCCCTATGAAGGAAGTCCTATGATAGAAAATCAAGGATCCTGTGAGCACGATGAAGAGGATTCAACATAAAAGGGGAGCGAGGGTATCAGTGAAAGCAAAATAGCAGTATTCACAATAAGAACTGAGAAACTGGGCGAAACCTGGACTTTAACTGTGCTCATCTTTGAAGTCAATGTTTGAAACTTTTGAACACACCTGCAGTGACTACGTCTTTTCTTGGCCATGGTCATGTTTTCTTGTTTGGTCTCCTGTTTAGTAATTTTTGATTATATACTACATGTTTTGAGCAATGTACTGCAAAGAGAGTGGATAATGTTATCTTCCTTGAGAAAAGTTGGGATTTGTTTTGGTAGGAAGTTATATTATTAACATAGCACCTAGAGTATGTGGTACTTGGTTTTATGTGTTGCTTTGGCCAGTATGTTTCAAGGGAAATCTCTTATTTCATAACTGATTTTTTTATTTCTATGGTATGCTCCTTTTGGTACTTTAAAGGAAAGTGTAATGTCTTTAATGCATAACCTAAATGGGTTGGAATCAAATTCCAAACTCGGACTCTTCCAGGATGGGCAGAAGCTGTAGTCTTCGTTCTGTTTTGATTGTTGTTTGCTTTTCCGGAATTAGCTATTCTCTGCCTTTGGACACCTTTTCATTTTACCTCTAAGTTTGTAGTTCATGGATTCCAGGGAGATTTATGTTAAATTTTAAGTGCCTGCCATGGCTCACTTATTTCTGAAAATTCCAGAAACTCTAGAAGGATCAAAATCCATGCTTTGATTCCTCCAACCAACAAAACTGCAGTTTATATTGCAATTCTGCTGCCCATATTCCTCAAAGTGGAGAGTGGCCTGGAGGAAAAGCTATACAAACCCAGCTTCTGACACACACTGTATGGTTCTCTTCTTTGGAGGGTTGATTCTTTGCTAGTTTTTGCCTGATTGCAGTTACTGTCTCATGCAATGAGAATTAAGTTTTTTTCTCAACATTTATAAATTTTTATTTATGGAAAGGTATGTCTGATACAAACATTCTTCCCTATCTTAAAAGATGTGTTTTTTTTTTTTTTTTTTTTTGAATTTCGGTATAAATTTGCATGCTTTTCCATGAAAAACATCTATGGAATTCCTTGTCTGGTTTTCCATGATTTGATTCTAGTTCGGAGCTGTACTCATCTCCACTTAAGAGTACAGAGTGTATTCACTTTATTGCTGTTATCTATTTACCAAATAGACCCTGCCTTGTTCTTTTACATATAATTTAAAATAAACAGTGATGCATTTTGGCCTGAGCTCCAGGGCTAGGTATGCACTATGCTTTAGATATGGTTTAAGTGTGTCTTTCAGGTTTCAAGTGTTGAAAGCTTGCTTCTCAGTGTGGCAATGTAGGGAGGTGGGACCTTAAGATGTGGAGCCTAGAGGGAGGTGGATAGGTGAGTTGGAGGTTCTATCCTGGCAAGGAGTTGAAGGAGCTGAGCGATCCCTGAATTGCTGTCTGCTTCCTGCTGTGTGATGTGATCATTTTCTGCTGCACATGCTCCCACCATCTTCCTTTAGTACTAGAGTCAGCACTAGGAGATGTTTGAAATTTAAGAGTTCACAAGTATGAGCTAAATAAACCTCTTTTCTTTATAAGACTAGCCTGCTGAAGTATTTTGTTATAGTAATGCACAACGGACTAATACAATATATTATTAAAATCTATATCATCTTCAACTTAAATTTTGCAATCTTCAGTTCCCAAACATGTAAAACAAAGGGTTGACTGAGCCTTAGTAAAGATAAAATAAGATTGTATAAGTAGCTCTTTTCTGCTATGATGGCCCTTGGTACTGCAGTGATGATAAATATAGGACAGATTATTTTTACTAGGAATATTTAATATATTACCTGAACTTTATTCATCTCCAGTTTGTTCTTCTCATTGGCACTTTGATCTTGTTTGCTTGCTCCCTTTTTCTGAGGGCCTTTACCGAAAAAGATATAATTTACAAAGGCGTATTCCAGCAGAGCCAGGAAGACAAATACAAAGCAACCCATCAGATAAATATCAATTGCTTTGACATAAGGGATCTTGGGCAGGGTCTCCCTGAGGTGAGTGCTGATGGTTGTCATCGTCAGCACTGTGGTGATTCCTGTGAAAAGAAAGACAAAGTTTAGCAGAAGGAACTGCTCTGAAACTGTCCTTTCTGAGATTGCAAAGGCAGATGACATTCCCTTAATGGTGAGAGGATTGACAACATTTTGAAAAATATAGCAAGGAAGAAGAAAAGTCAGACAAAGTCAGATAAAATCTCATCAGAAGGTGGCCTTCAAATGTCTCTCAGTCCTGCTTTGTGTGGTCAACAACTTTCTTTTTTCCCCTCAGTATCTTGTCCATGACATTCCAAAATCTATCCTTGTGATACTATTCTCTACAGAAGCAGTATCAATTAAAAATTGGTGAACAGTTTGAGATCTACCCAATTGTATGAATCCATAATACATCCAAACTTACAGATTGAGTATTTCATTTTAAATGCAATAAATCATCCATTCTAAGGCATCATAAAAAGAAGCATATAAGAAAGTTTATAGCTTAAATCACATCAAACATCTCATTTATGTATTTTTTAGATACAACATAATCACTTAGCTTTGATTTTTCAAATGTCACCTCCACCCCTAACATTTTTCAAGTCATATCACTAATGTGTTATCTGTGGAACCAGCCTAGAAAAAATTAATTCCCTGGTGTTAGGAATGAGTTTCTTTAAAAATGTTGTTAGTTTTGTTTAAAAAGTTTAAATCCATAGAGACATAATAGATAGATAGTGTTTTATCTACTTCATTAAATATAAGATTAGTAGCTTTAATTTTGTGTGGGTTGCATAGGTTGATGTTATGATGAAAAAGTAATTGGGAAAAACAAGAAATGAAAAAAGAAGTTGAAATTTTTTGCAGATAGTTTATGCTGCAATGTTATATAATTTCTATATTGTTTTATATATTTAAACACCTTCAGCTACATATTTAAATATCTACAGCTATAAACTGTCTCCTATGGCTGTCATAACAGCATATTGAATATGACAGCAAAAGTATATTATTTTTCTATATACTGGGTAAACATAAAATTGGAGACTAGGTTACTTAGCTGACAGGCAAAAACTTAAGGAGTTGTTAAATGACAATATTTAAAAATACATGGAGAGGTGATATGGTAATGCCTGAACTTTGTTCAACTATATTTTTTGAAGAACAGGTAAAATAAGAAGTCAGGACTATCATACAAAAAATTAAAGTGATTCACATTAGTGACTAACTCAAACGGGCTGGACTGATATGACATGCCATTATGAGTGGTCTTATTTATTTCTTTGAACAAAATTTTAAATTTCATCTAAAACAATTATAGCTACTATGGTTGGAAAATGCCTAATTCATTTATCAATTCACTAATCATATTTCTGCTTTTAGTCTTTGGTTACATTTTTAAGCAAAGAGGGTTAATAGATGACTGTCTTTTAAAATTAGACATGTTTAACATATGTCAAGTTTACATTGTAAAAATAGGTTAAATCATCCATTTTATAGTCTCACATCTCTCTAACCAAAATATCAGTAGCTTTGAGAATAGGTAACATGTAGAGAATCACAATTCACGAATTTGCTACCTATTTTTCCCTATTGTGGACACGACCCAGAATTTTTCAAAACTAATCATGGCATATGTGCGTTGCATATTCACATTCAAATAATATATACAGATACATGTGTATAATAGGATACATTATTACTTTGTTTTTTTTACTCTTATAATGTTCAAAGAAGCTGCCAGCCCTTGACATTGTAAGCTTTATCTACTCAGCCAATAAAAATATGAAAGTATCTGTGATGTTTCTTTAATCCAGTTCCATACCATATTGCATCTTTCCAGAAGAGATGCAATATGGTATCTTAGCCAGAAGTGATGCTCCTCTTTCTCTCTCTCTTCGTGTGTGTGTGTGTGTGTGTGTGTGTGTGTGTGTGTGTATTTATCTTTCTGAATAAGTCCAGAAAGTGATTATTAAATGGTTAAGGTTCAAATAAAAAAGCATAACTATATATGCCCAGAATCATTGGGAACGCCTTACACACTCTAACTTTCAACAAACAAGTTAAAGTTTCAAATATAACGTTTCAGGTTTCAGCCAATTATTCAACATGACAAGATTAATTCTGAATTTTGTTCTACAGAAAAGGAAAACATTTTTATTCTGTCTTGATCAGAGATCATTAATATGGTTGATAAATTATATGTGCTTTACACAATGTAATGAGCTCTATTTAAAAGTGACTCAGCTTGACATGTTTTTAACTCTAATTAATATTCAAAGGATAGTATTTCACAAAAATTGATGAGCTTGTTAATGGTCGCAAGGTTTTGCTTTCTCCAAGACTATTTAAAAATAATGAGTTATAATATTTTCCACAGTAAAAAGCAGAGAATAAAGAGAAAACCATCACAAATTTAATAAAGTTTGTGCATTGAGAATTTGAAAATATATTTCTTAGGCAAATATGCTCTAAGAATTTTCTTTTTGGTAAAATGCTAAAAACGTATTTAATTTTAATAACCCACTATAAACACTTTTAGGTTGATATTTAGATGATTTTTTAATTTAACCACTCTTCTAATAATTTCTTCATCTTGATATAAGAAAGTTCTCACGTATGAGCCCTAAGATGGGCTATTTATTTGAAGGTACAGCTCATGAACTCTCTGCAATACTGGGGATGCATACCTAGTGCGACTCTGGCTGCAGAAGCATCATAATTAATCCAAAATGACACCCAGGACAGAATGGTAATCAGTGTCGAAGGCATATAGGTTTGCAGAATGAAGTAACCGATGTTTCTCTTTAGACGGAAACTTAATGACAATCGTGGATATGCTCCTGAATTGACAGAGAAAGAAAAGACAATCCAAGCATCATTTGATTGCAATCCTCTTTGGCCTTGGCAGGCATTTCTACTTAGATGTGGGGGAAGCATCCTCACCTGTTGTGAACTCCACTTTCTTGGATACCATCTTGTAGTCAACAATTGAGAACTGAGGAAGCTCAATTTTATTAACTCCAGTTACTGCTTTCTCTCCTCCATTCCAGTAAAACTCAATGTCATCAGTGGTGTAACCATCTGAAAAGAAACCAGAGAGCCCAGTCACATAGAGTTCAGATGGTCTAGAAGTTCATGTTGAAGACAATTTTGAAGCTAGAGGGAGGATTCCAAGTAAACGGTGGATGAGTAACTTTGCTTTAAACTAGGATGGCAGGCGAGTCTCATACTGAGTGCTGTTGCTAAAGGTTTGGTACTAGCTGCACGTGGCTTTAGTGGAGATGGACTCTAGATCATTTAATGACATCTGACATTATGCTGTATATTCTTTTTCACTGTGTCTACCAATAGTGACTAAAGTGAGAGATGGATGAATTCCAAGGGCCTGGAAATGAGTTTTGGCTATATTTTAACTTACAACATAGATAGCAACAAGAAAAATAATTGAGTGGGCATTTGATAAAAGGAACAGTGGACATGAAAGGAGTATGGTGAAAGACTAAATGCACATATCTATTAAATGACCAAAGCATTTAAAGTGTACATTTCTAGAGGCTGGGGATTTAGCTCAGCAGCATAAGTGCCTGCCTTGCAAACAGGCAGTCAAGAGTTTGATCCCTGGTACCGATAAAAACAAAAAAGACAAAATTAGTCAAGGATTTAGTTTTATTCTTTGGTTACAGCTAATATTATAGCTAATATATAGGTACAAATTTTGAGAATTATATAAGATGTAACTGAAAATTAAGATGTGTATAAATAATAATTTATTACAGTGAAAGACACATAACCATTAAATAAAATTCAAATTTCTCCTCTTGGCTTCAGAAACACTTAGCCCATAATTACTACTTCTTTCTGAAGCAGTTCTGGAAATCCTTTTTCATGAGTGTCTTTAGCTGTACTGTAATGGCTGCCTTTATGTTCTGAATCAAGTCAAAACATTTAGCTTCATGGTCATTTTGATTTTAGAAAAGAGTCACAAATCATTTTGATTTTAGAAATCATTTTAATTTTAGGAAAGAGTCAGAAAACATTTTAATTTTAGGAGTCAGAAATCACACAGTGCCAGATTGAGTGAGGACACACCATGCCTTTTTGTTACATAGCCCTCAGAAGCAGCATTCACAGTATTTTTGGTCGCACTAATAAAGATATGAAAGAGGACTTCTAGAACTGCTTCAGAGAATGGAAAGAATGAGGGGATAAATGTATTTGAAGCTGAGGGGAATATTGTGATGAAACAGTGACAATTTGTCATTTACAATGTGTAATAATTTAAAAATGCAAACATTTACCATATTGTTCAATTACCCCATGTGTTATTTGTTGGTAATACTTAGATGTCTTCCTATTTGTGAGGGCAAGTTAATTTAAGGGGAACACAGATAAGATTATCTTTATGTCTTCAGCAGGGAGGGCCCTGTGTTGGTGGCCTATGAAGGTCTCCACGCTCAAAAATAACCATTTATCTTGCTGTGGAGGTTCATGCTTATAATCCCAGCACTCTGGGAAGGTGAGGAAGGAGCTCAAAGTTGTTCTCTCTTCCTCTTAATCTGCTGCCAACTGTCAGGAGTCTAGCAGATTATGGTCAAGAACATGAATAACTTGTGTAACAAGAACACTTGGATATATTTTTAAAAATCTAAAAAAACTTATGGCAAATTTAATGATTTTTCTTCTTAACAATTTGAGACATTTATAAGTTTAATTTACATTCACCTCAAATTTAAAAGCATCAAATCATTTTTCCACTAGAATTACTGAAGCTTGTGTTGTAAAAGGTAACCCTAAAAGCTCTCTGTAGTAGTTGATTTGCTGACCTATTTTTGATTCAAGTAGCAACATTTTTTCAAGAAATGAAAAACAGCTTTAAAATTTGAAAGCTGAATGGCAAGTATCAAACGTTGCACTGATTTACCCCCCACATGAATGAAGTTTAAATGTATTTCTGTTTTTTAGGAGAAATAAAGCTGTCAACTTTATTGATTTAAGTGTTTTTAATTCCTTTTTGAAGACTTTGTAAAAAAATTTTTTTCCTGACTTTATTGAATTCACAACAGTGTTTTTGTTTCTTACATATTGTCACCCTATAAATGCTATTGTGTTGTTGTAATATATTTTACAATGTATTGTATTTTATTTCCCTTTAAACCATCTCCTTTTATGTCTAAGAACTTGTGCTCTCTGGAAAGGATATCTTCTTATACACTGTACAATGATCCAGTATAAACATAGAAATAAAAAATATTGACCTTTAGATACAATGATGTCTGAGAGATTGTGAGATCCTTTTTCCCTTTTGAAACTAGGACAATGTAGTGAAATTCATTAACGTGTTGGAAGTTTAGGACATGTTTGAGTGTGACTCTCTGAGAAAGGTTCTTAATACGTCCTTGAGAATCTGCTAATAACTTATGACCAACTCCACCCAGAAAGAAAGAAAAGAAAGACAGATAGACAGACAGACAGACAGACAGACAGACAGAAAGACAGACAGACAGACAAAGAAAGAAAGAAAGAAAGAAAGAAAGAAAGAGACAAGTGTCTACTTTCCATCTCCAGGAGTGGAAAAACTTCTTGTTGATTTTAGGTTCACTAAGTTAACTAGATGATCATTAAAACCCGAAATTGTAAATACATAAGGGAAAAACATGTAAGCAATCAAGAATTGAGTCACAGATGGTTAGTAGCTTAGGGTTGAAGGAGAGAAAGTGGTGGGTGGGCTAGATCACCACCTCTTGTTATCTACTACCTCTGAATAGCATCAGAATAGTTCAGTACTGCAAACAATACAAAAGCTAGAACATCGTGTTTTTTCTTTTTTCATCATTTTTTTGGATGGGGAAATGGAAAAAAAAATCTCTTGTAAATAATTACAGAAAGAGGGGTTGAGGGCAGGGTAGGGGAATGGGAGACAAAGGAACCAAGCTGTGCCATGTACAGGTACAAATTCCCTATAATGAATGTGATCATTATGTTTACTTAAAATATACCAGTAAAGCTAATTATAAAAAAATCATCTCACCCTAAAAAGCTGAAACAGTGCAGACTTAATGAGCTAGTCATCTACCCTTCTTTATCTGAAGTTTTGTTTTCTGTGTTTCAATTACCCCAGAGTTAACCGTGGTCTGAAAATAGTAGATGGAAAATTCTAGAAATAACAAATTCATAAACTGAACTGAAAGTTGTAAACTGTGGTGCATGTGAAGGCCATGCTTCCCTGCTCCATCCTGTCCAGGATGTGGCACAGCTCTTTGCTTGGCATATCTGTGCTGTCCTGTAGGTGCCACTTAACCATTCATCATTGACTGCCCATTTCAGGTGAATTGTTATGCTTGTGTACAAGTAACCCTTCTTAGAGAGAGTGAAGGAGACCACTTACACTTAATTTTTAATAATTTATTGTTATAATTGTTCTATTTTATTATTCCTGTTTACCTCTTACTGTGCCTAATTTAGAAACTAAACTTTACCTTATGTATATATGTATAGGAAAAGAATATAAGGTTTGTCACTATTCACAGTTTTGACAGTCCTCCGGGGCCTTGAAACATATCCCTTGCAGCTAAAGAGGGGCTACTATATTCAACAACTCATTCAGCCGTGGTGTGATCTCCACACGCCCCTCCCCCAGCTCACACTTTGTTTAAGTAGAACCCATTGGGCACAGTGTTCAAAGTGCTGAGATAATTAGATTATTTGGGGGAAAAAAAGAATGTTCACACCATTTAGGGTGGATGCTTTCAGTTCTTATGGGAGCTATAATGGCAGCTGGATCCAAAGAAAAGAATAGAAGCCTTGAAATACACTATTATTCAAAGGTTACACAGGAACATTTTGCCACGGAGAGAGAACATCAATTTACTCACACCTAAACAACCTATTTACCAAAGGTTTTCCTTTATGAACCAGTGACTTCACACAGCGCCTCAAAGCCTGAACACTTGGTTACCAGTGATGTGTTTCCTAGCAACAATAGCTACACAGAAGCTCTCAAAATTTTCCTGCAGCCTCTGGGGACTTCTTAGTTGTGTAGAAAGTACAGATAAAATTAAGTTGATGTCAATGAATAAAGATTCATGAAGCTAGTAAAATGTAGAAGTAGATAGATGTTAGTGTTCCTGTCTGCTCTTTGAAAGACTTTATTTTGGATGCATTTTCTAATCAGGAAATAAAAATATACTCTCCACTGGGTTTAATAGAATGAGGAGGGTGGCCAAGTATCCTACTTAGATACACTTTGGATACATTTATAATCCCTGAGTGGGCAGAACTGAACAGATTTCCTTTTGTGGAGAAGCCATAGCAACATATCTGGTGTGGATCTTGTTAGAATCAAGGCCAAGCCTTAAAATACCATTGTCTTTGCTAAGTTTCTTGTCTCAAGATTAGGCAATAATCCTGGTTATCATGCTTTGAATGTGTTTCCCAAAGTTCACATGTTGGAAACTTAATTCCCAAAGCAACAATCTCAGGATGTAGGTGCTTTAAGTGATGTTTAAGTCATGAGGGTTCCACCCTCATAAATGGAATGATATTGTTGTGAAGGTATTTGAGAATTTCAATGACTTAAAGTTACAGTGGTATATGCATACTGATGTTTATAGCAGCACAATTTATAACAGCTAATTCTTGGAAGTGGCCTATATGTCCATCAACAGATGAATGAATAAAGGAAGTGTGCTATTTACAAACAATAGAGAACTACTCTGTCATAAAGAAGGATAAACTTGGGTCATTTGTAGGAAATGGATGCACCCAGAGACCATAATGCTAAGTGAACTGAATCGGATACAAGCCTAATGATCACACATTTTCTCTTATAGTAGAAATCCAAAGTATAAATAAAAAGCAAAACAATGATTGACAAGAGGAATCTTTCTTAAAAGGGAATGAGATCAAGAGGTGGAGGGAGAAGGGTGGGAGAGGAGGGAAAGGATGTGAAAAAGGAATAAAGATTGTACAATGTACAGATCCCAACTCCACACAAGGAATGGGAACATCATATAGATGCGCGTCCCTTCAAAAGAAGGTGGAGGCATGGAAGGAGGGAGAGGGGAGGAGAGAGAAAGATGATG